ACTGGCTGCTACTGATCTTAATTCTAGTCACAGTGACTGGCCACCTTATAAAAGCAGCAACCACCTTCCCGCTGGGAAAAGGTCAGAGCCCACAATGATGAGCACAAAACTCAGAGCAGTGTCCACCCCTGCAGCCTACCTGTAGCCTACCTGGAGGATCTCCTGAAAATTGAACCCCACATTCACACCAACCTGCCCATTGCATCTAGGTGAAAAGTGCATCAGATCATGCAGCCTCAAGTCTGCTCTCTTAATCAGCTGTCACCACGAGTAATAATTATACCTTGAGAAACAGCAGAGTGACTCAAAGAGCTGTCCCCTCCCCCTCTGCCGCCCCCTTGCACAGCTCAAAGCTTTGTACACAGTGTTAAGAGGCCCAGAAAGTGAAGCCACCATTTTCTCCTGTCAGCTCAATGAACACTTTAAATGACCATCTGGACCTCGGTGCCCAATGGGCAGTCTTAGACAGTCTCTTCGCTGTCTAAAGAGTTAATTATGCCCAGCTGTTCCCAAAACAGTGAACTGAGAGGGAGGCTAGGCAGAAAGAAACATCACTGAATACGTGATGCCTGCTTGTGAGACAGTGCTCGGGGGAAGCTGCCTGATGCCTCGAAGAAGACGGCCGATACACTATGGAAAAATAAATGGTGCTGCCCCACCAGCTCAGATATGGCCACATGTTAAAAACGCTGGAGAGCTCACACTTACTGGATGCGTATCGTGTGCCTGTTAGGGGACTGAATGTTTTATTGTACTTCAATGCTATTATCAAGCGGATGTACAAGACCATCTGGGATGCTGAAATATTCAAATAGTCCATCCTCGTTGGAAACAGCCATGCCACAGTCCCCAGAGGCCTGTTTCTTCCACCCCCAGACTCCCCAGGATGCACTGACGGGTGAGCCTGGCATGGAAGGGGGCCTCTCTGCCCCTGCTCAGGGTAATGGTGGTGTCCATTCTGTTTGATCTGTGCTCAGGCTCTAGTGGCTGTGAATATTTTAAATCTCTTTCTAGTATATACTATCTCACTCCACCATTACCCAAAGCCCTATTATTGTCTCCATCTTGCAGACAGGAAGCTAGGGCCAAATGACCTACCAAGGGTCACTCAGGGGGTCCCAAACCTGGTTCAGAACCCAGGCAGACTGAGCCTGAGCCTGAGCTGTTGACCACCTGCTTGGACAGACAAGGCTTAGAAGGGTCGCTGAGTCACCACGATCCCTGCTCTTTCTCCTTGACTCTGGAACTGACCCAAACTTTACAAGAAACTCTTCATCCTCAAGCCAGCAAAACGTACCTTCATCACCACACTTTCATCCCCAAGCACATCGCAGCTATGTATCTCTACTCCATTCCCCCATGTGGCCATCTACCTTGGAGCCCCATTTCCCTAAGAGGCCAGGGTCACACGGTCCTGAGGCTTACGGGTCCCAGGCAGGGGAAACTAGAGACTGAGTGGTCTACCATGCAGGGCAGCCCCAGAGTAGCCTCCCTCTCCCACCAGTCCTCACCATCGGTTTCCTTTGTCCCAGCAGGATTTGTGGCACACAGAGCTATTGCTGTCACTATGGAGACCTAAGTGCCAAGGGACTTGGACTTTCTCCAGGGTCCTCTGCACAGTGAAACACTGCTGGAGCCACAGTGCGAAGACTCAGGCTGATACGGGAGGGAGTTTGTGTCCCTAGCGTGATGCTAGAAAGCTTGCACACACAGGCTCCTTCCTTCAAGATCTTCTCTAATTTGGACACGGCCTAGTCTAGAATGAATTAGGTCCATCCTGGCTAGAGTTATGAGAGGGGCAATGAAAGACCTGCTTGGTCCACAAACAACACTCACATCGATGTTCACTCAGTGTGGAACGCTGTTTCCCTGAGAACCTGCCTGGGCTCTATAGCCATACTCAGGGAACGACACGTGTCTGTTATGCAGGACTTACCGTAACCTTGATCATGCAAATACGCAAGACACAGGTCCAAGTGCAGGCTCATTTGAACGTTTCATCAGTGGAACGCCTCTACCCATCTCATGCCACAGGGTCTCTCTGAATACCACTTGGCAAACAATCCAAGGGCCTTGGGACGAAACGTTTATCACAGCGAGATAAGGAGACTTAGCCACTGGAAAGAAGGACCATTTTTACCCTAGCAGTTCCCACAAGGGAAACACACTTTCCATTTCCTCTTTCTCTTAACCAATTCTTAACTTCCTCTGGGTTCCCTTTTAGGAGGACCCTACTTTGTTCTTACAGATGCTCCCAGTGAAGCCAGAATCCAGTTCACAAGGCACGCTGACTTCTCTTAGCCCTACTTTTCTAACAACGAACTCATCCTGAAACTGGGAATCACGACAGCCAGATTTCATGGCGCATTTGTCTGCGCTGAATATTTTATGTGGCTTCTCTCTTTTAATTCATTCATATTTCCCTTCAGTTAATCTGCTTTGAGTCACTCTCGCTCTCTGCCCACCCATCATCCTTCCAGAAGAACGTTAGATATCCCCACCCCTTGAAGCAGGTCATATGGGAAGGGAATAACAAAGCTAAAAACATAATGCAGACTCTGCCCACCCACCCCCCCCCCGCCGCCACCGTCTGGGGGCTAACCCCACGTGTTCTCACTGGAAGCAGAACCCCACCATGTAACTCTCCTGAGACCTCCGAGTGCTCACTTATGGAAGTAAATGAACCCAGGCACTCTGTGGCTGTTGCTCACCCCGTGAAGGTGCTGCACAATACGTACTGCATTTCCTTTAGCACTCACTAGGCAATTGACACACATTATCAGGGATCCTCCCAACCACCTGCTCACATACTCCTGCTCTCATCTGAGAAAAGATGATTCTGAGGGTCAGAGCGGTTTACCAGTCTACATGGATTTGAACCCAGATCTGTCTGGATTTAATGCTGTTTCTTTCTGAGGTACCATACTCCACCTGTATAGATGATCACTTCCTAACCAAGGAATTGATTTTTCTTTTTTTTAAATAACAGGGTCGGTCAGTCAGTGAGTGAGCTCAAAAATAAAATCCAGGAGGAATGGCTACGAGATAAACCTGAGACTATTCTCAGAGTGCCTGGGCTGTTTCCAGCCCTTCCTTCCCAGCATTGTGCCAACCTCAGCTTCTCCTAGAGCAGGGTTTCCAGATAAATACAGGACACCCAGTTAAATGCGGATTTCAGAAAAACAGTGACTAATGTTTGAGTATAAGAATGTTCCACCTAGTTCATAGGACATACTTGTATTGAAAAAAAAAATTCAGTGCTTCCCTGAAATTCCAATCTGAGTGTTCCGTGCTTTTATTGGCTACATTTGGCAACCCCTTCCTGCTGGGAAGTCTCCTGCCTGGCTCCAGGTCCTAAGTGTTGCTCCCACAGAAGTTGCCATGGCAGCTGCACAGGCCTTCCAAAGCTTTCTAGACCTGTCTCCACTCACCCCTGCCGCTTCCCCTCACCCCTGCTAGCTCCAGGCTCCCAACAAGCCCAGCTCCTTTCATTCTCCTGGATGCCTGTTGCTGCTCCCAGCTTCCTGCTGCTTTTAGCCTCTGATCTCTGCGCCTGCTGTTTCTTCCCCTCTTCTCTTGCCTGGCTAATTCCTACTGATCCTTCAGTTCTCAACTTGGAGTCACTTCTGCCAGGAAGCCCTCCTGGCTACTGCTGATTGGCTTCCCCAACAGCCCTCTAACACAGGGTTGGGTAGCACCCTGCACCTTCCCCCTGGTAGTCCTCCCTTGACCACCCCCTATCCCACACTGCCCTGGGGAGCAGAGGCCATGCCACACTCACCCTGTCTCCACACCTTGCACCTGCACCTGGCTGCAGGTGGGAAGCCGGCGAGTGCCTCCTGAATGACTGACTGCAGACTGTCCCGCCAAAGCTGGGGCTCTCCAGCGTGACTACTTCCTTCCTCCCTTCTCCCTTTAGTCACTTTTTACCAGTGCCTTCCTCCCCCTCCCCCCAGAGTGGTTGTGAAAGATGGGGCCTCAGGTCAGCAGCAGCACTTAGGATGAGCAGAGAACACCCCACATGGAGGGACCTCCATGCACCCACTACCGGGTCACACCACGCGCACTGCCCCAGTGGGCCCAGGTCCAGCCACAGCCCAGCTTCCAAGTCCCTCCTGGCTAAAGCCACCTCTGGACACAACTTTCTGCTCTTGTCCTCCCACTGGCCCCTTCAACTAGCCGATTTTGCTCCCAGTTTGGGGTGTGGGAAGACACTGGTGTCTTGTGGTCGAGGCTTAGGGCCGGTGGCAGGGCTTGCAGAACGTCACCCATATGCTGCTCCACGCTCACCCACCCAAAGCGGTGCCCACGCGCAGCCTGACAGCAGGCAGAGGCAGCTCGAACTTAACCCTTGAGCGGCACTCAGAAGGCGGCTTCTCAAGGAACCAGTGTGGCCAGTGTGAACTTCACACACGCACGTGCACGTGCACACACACACAGACACACACACACAAGATCCCCTGTCCCCCACAGCAGCCCTGCTTTCTTCCAGTCAGCGCTTGATTCAAGACACCCTCTCAGGGGGCAAGGAGTGGCTGCAGAGGAGTGGGGGTGGGCTGGGGGTGAGACTAGCACCCCAGGGGCTGCAGAAGGGCCGAGAGGGAGCAGGGAGCGGGGCAAGAGCAGGCAGAGGTCTGAGGCAGGAGCTGAACCCCCCCCCTTGGCCCCTAACCTGATCTTTAGAGGCGGCAGCCTGGCTGTGCCCTCACACCGTGGCCCCCAGCCTCCCCTGTCTGAATATGTTGAGAGGACAAAGAAGGAGAAACACCCTATAGTGTCAAATTTACACCAAAAATAGAACCCTTCTCTCCGCAGAAGGCTGGTGAGCTCCGGGGCGTGTGCACAGCACCCGCGGCTCCCATTTCCTGGGTCTGTGGCTGTTTCTCCGGGAACTCCCAGCTCAGGTGCCCGGGATCCCGGAATTACCGTCCCCAACCCCTGCCACCCGTCAAGCCAGCAACTTCTGCCAGGCACAGCCCCGGCTCACAGGACAGACTCACCCAGGGAGGCGCGGACTCTGGCGGTGACTGCTCCTCGGCCCCACCAGGTGAGCCGGGGCTGCGGCAACTACAGGTGAGTTCGGCCGGGCAGGTAGGTGTGCGGCGGCTCCGGCTCCGGAGGCTGTGGCTGAGTAAAAGGGCTGACAGGTTAGAGTTTCCCCCTCCTCCTCTGAATTGTTAACCACACCCCTGCTGCTCTCCTCCCCACTTCCTTAAAGGGTGGGGTATGTTGTCTGTGTGTGCCGGCTCCTGCCTTTTACCATAAACTCTGAAATAGACGCTGCCTCCAATTCCCTGAGCGCCGGGCCAACCTGGGGGCAATCTCTGTCCTCCCGATGAGCCACTGATATCCTCTGATTTATGTGCCCCTTGTAAGCAGCTGACTCCCCAGTTCCTAACACCCCTCTATCCTCCACCCACTCCACCTGCAGCCTTTTGGAGGCCAAAAGGTGTGTGTGAAGGGGGCGGGAGGGAAACCAACTTCTCAGGCTGGTTCTCCCCCCGACGCCCGGCAGCGGGAGATGTTACCTGCATGGTACTCTGAGCACCTGTGTCCTAATCTCTCCACCTGCTAAAGTGGCCCCAGTCCCTTTGCAGGTGTGAAAAATCAGGCCAGGCACAGTGGCTCACGCCTGTAATCCCAGCACTTTGGGAGACTGAGGCAGGTAGATCATGAAGTCAAGAGATTGAGACCATCCTGGCCAACATGGTGAAACTCTGTCTCTACTAAAATCACAAAAATTAGCTGGGCATGATGGCGTGCACCTGTAGTCCCAGCTACTCAGGGGACTGAGGCAGGATAATTGCTTGAACCCAGGAGGTAGAGACTGCAGTGAGTCGAGATTGTGCCACTACACTCCAGTCTGGCGACACAGAGACATGCTGAAAAAAAAAAAATTCCAACACCACCAGGAATAACTAGCCCAGGTCCTTGAACACTGAAGACCAGGTCCCTGAGCTGTGACCAAGTAGCGTCTGAGGAAAGCACAAGAATAGAGATGCTGGAAAGCCCCTTCCTGGGGCCCTGTCTCCACATCACTCCAGCTGGCTGCCCAGAGGCTGGTCCCCTCTTTCCTCAGGCCAGCAGGGCAGTGAGATGGGGGCAGGCACTCAAGGGCACTTAGCAACACTTCCTCCCTATCCCTAGAAAGGCCCCAGGCTTGCTTGAGTAGTAGGAGGAGGTGACCTGGACTTGGCATAAGGTCACAAAGCTGGGGTGTACCCAGCATCACCCACATCCTACAAGGCCCTCTCCAGAGCCCCTGTCTCAAGCTTCTTTATTCTGTGTCTTGTGGAGGACTGGAACCTGATTCCCAGGGCTGCCCTGTTGCACAGTTCTATAGGACAGTATTCACAACGTACTTCCTGAGAATGGCGCCCCCTGGAGTCGTGCCAAGGAACCACTCAGTTTCCAAGATTGCATTTGACGTCTTCTCATTTCTGAAAAGAAATTGGAGACTTAGATTAATTAGCAAATCTAGGAAGTCAATGTTTTTCAAAATATTATTGGTGGACTACCCATAGCTATTGGCTGGATGCCACTCTGGGTCCCCTGAAGATCAGACTCTCTACAGCTGGGGCCCACCTGCCCAGCACAGACCTTACAACTCATTGATTGGCACTCCCAGCCTCGACAGCTGGAGCCCCCTCCACTCCCAACCCCTTTCCGTTCATACTATTACAGATTTGTCACGTTCCCAGCACTCAGCATCTTGGAGGTAATCTTGGTGACTACACAGCCGTCAAGAGGTCAGAAGGTGGCCAAGTGGGAGATCATGGCCAGGGATGGGAGAGACAAGACAAGTCAGACAGGGGTCAACTGAAGTTAGCAGGGAAGATGTGGAGATGAGGAGACGGGTAACTGACTAAATGGCAAGGAGATGGTCAGAGGGCATCCAGCAGTAGGTGTCCCCTCCGTATTCTTACGCTTGGGAATCAAGTGATGAAGCCCAAGTAGCACGAAAATTAGATACCTGGGTGAGTTGCTGAGAGTCTGTGCTAGGGTGTGACAGTGGGAACTAAAAGCAAAGCCAATCAGGACCTGATTAAGAAAAGGTGAGTTTGTGTGTGCTGCCCCTGTGTGGCCATATGCATGAACTACAATCTTATCTTGCTGGGACCAATTCTGGGAAGGTGAGTTTTCAGAGGTTGAATTCTTCAGCACTTTTTAAACATCTCCAAAATTTACCTCATAGAATTATAAAATAATAGGTTTTTGAATGAAAAAAGACATTGAGAAACTTTCTGGGGTGGCCAACTCTGTCGTCAGTTCTCCTTAGGTTCAGTCCAGTGTCATGCACAAGCAACTCAGGTCACACACTTCTGCCTGTTACTGCCTTTTAAAAACCCGATCAGAAATGCCTTCAGGAGCCCTCAAAATCTACAGAAATCTTTAAAAGATGCTATTCATGGCGATGCTATCCGTATGGCATAGGTTGCAATAACGATCTACCCCAATTGGAAAAGAAAAGTGTTTCCCGTCTGCCTACATCTGCCTGTGTCTCAAGCTGACCAAGTGCCCTAATTGTGGGGGGCTTTGGGAGGATGTATATCTGGGTCAGCAGAAGGAGAAAACTGAGGAAAAAGGCCTTTGGGCAAATGTCCTTTCTAGTTGGACTTTTCCATTTAGATGTTCCACTCTTACCCCAAACTCAGGTCTATAACCCTGGCTCATCTTGCTCTTCAAACAAAGCCCATTCTAGCCCTCCTGTGAATGTCAACAAGACACGAGTCACCTCTGACTCTCCCTCTCCCTCTTTACCCCACAGCCATGCAAAATCTCCAAGAGGTAGTCCCAGCAAACATTTTTCCCATTTCTCATTTTTTTCCCTTTCTTATTGCCCCTCCCCAGTCCAGATTCTTTTTTCTAATGTTTGAACTCTTGTGAAGAGTCCCACACCCCCACCCTAGGAGTAGTTGGAACTGGAGATCGCAAAGGTGGTTGAGCTGGTGGTTAACTTTTGGGATGGCAGTTGAAGCCACAAGAATGGACAAGATTGTTTAAGGCCAGAGTCAGAGAGAACAGAGGACTTCAAGTCAAGCTCTTACCAGGAGCACATGAATGAAGACCCGAAGGTCAAGTGGGGTGGGCTATTGAATAAACTGGGAGTGAACACATGGAGGCAGCATGTGCTGTCGGGTCCTGGAGAGCTTGGCCGCCAAGGGGGATTGAGACTGAGGTGTTGGGGATGGAGGGGCTGTGGGTTGAAAGAGGACTGTTTTGTCTTTTGTTTTAGATGACAGCCAGTGGGGCAGGTTTCAATGCTCATAGGAAAGATCCAGTCAAGAGGGAAGAGGTTGTGACTTTGGACAAGTGAATCCATCTTTCTGAGCTTATATTTCCTAATCTAGAAAAGTAGAAAAATAAGTATTATATGCTCTACCTATTTCCCAGGGTATTGTGAAGTCTGAATTAAGTGATAGGTTTACAAATGCTACAAAAAATTCTATGGCTATTGTTTTTAGAAATGATAGCAATTAAACAATGTGAGCTTCATGGGGAGACAGGACATACGTATCTGCCATACAAGTTATCAAGTGTTCACTCTGTGCCAAGAACTTTCATCTGTCATCCAGCTTGTCTTCACAGCCATCTATGAAGTAGCTAGTCCTATTCCTGTTTTGCGGAAAGGAAAAGAAAGCTTAGAGGAGGTAAATAAATTCTGCACAGCCACCCAGGTGGTAAAGAGAAGAACTAAATCAAAACCCATCATTGGCAGGGCTACAATATTATCTAATTGGCATTTCTCCATGGTCAATGATGGAATTTAAGTTACATCATGTAAATTTACTATTGTGTAGAATAAATTTTATTAAAAAGTAGTATGGTTGTAAGTGTTCTAACAAAAAAAAATGGGCAAATACAAAAATTAGTTGGGTGGGGTGATGTATGCCTTTGGTCTCAGCTACTTGGTAGGACTGAGGCAGGAGAATTGCTTGAACCCAGGAGGCGGAAGTTGCAGTGTGCTGTGATTGTGCCACTGTACTCCAGCCTAGGCGACAGAGATCCTATTTCAAAAAATGAATAAAAAACAACAAAACAAAAAACAAAACAAAGAAAAATCTTATACATGTACTAAAAAACTGTGCTTCATCACCAAGGGGCATCTATATTTAACCAGGTATCACTATGTTTACCAAGTGGGCCACAGGTGAGGCCAAAATAAGTTGAGGGTATGGCTGGTATGGCTGGTATGGCTGGTATGGCTTGAATGGAACTCAAAACCATGACCTCAATTTAAAAAGAGCTTTCTCTTTTCTTCCTTTAATAATGGAATCCCTGACTTTCAGATGGTCACAGGATGCCCAAAATAAAAACTATTTCCCAGTCGCTCTTGCAGATGCAACACTGTGGTTAAGTTCTCCACAATGGTTGCAGAGTAGAGGCCATGCACGCAACTTCAGAATCCTGCCCTTCAAGGGAATAAGCACATCTTCCGATATTTTCTGCTCTATCTTTTCCGTCTCCACCTGACAATGAAACGCAGAGCAGCCATCCTGGTCTATGGTGCCGAGAATCTGGGTAACTAATTTCATCCAGCCACCGTGCTTACCCTGGACACAGTCTGAAACTTAGTTGAATTTTTACATGAGAAAGAAATTTGTTTGGGTTACTTCATTTTGGCCTTTCTACTACTGTAGCCTGAACTGCATCTGTGACATGATGATATAATAAGAAATGTTTACTTAGTAACTGACTCTCCAAACAACTTCTAAAACTTTTGGAATTTCTGGGGTGTTAAGAGTGTTTTGTGAGGCTAGGCATGGTGGCTCATGCCTGTAATCCAAACACTTTGGGAGGCTGAGGCAGAGGATTGCTTGAGGCCAGGAGTTCAACATCAGCCTGGCCAACATGGCAAGACCTCATCTGTACAAAAAAATACAAAAATTAGCTGGGCATGGTGGTGTACACCTGTAGCTTAGCTTGGGAGGCTGAGGCAAGAGGATTGCTTGAGCCCAGGAGATTGAATATATAGTGAGGTATAATTGCACCAATGGATGACTCTAGCCTGGGCAACACAGTAAGACCCTGTCTCAAAAAAAAAAAAAGTGCCTTTTGTATGCCAATGAAATGTCTGGTGTCTGGACCCTTAGATAGCTTTAGGATGAGGGCTGGTCATCAGAGAGACTGAGGCATGATGAGAACGCTGAACTTCCAGCCCTTCCCCCCAAACTTGGGGAAGGAAAGGGTCTGGAAGTTGAGTTGATCACCGATGGCC